TYYWAMRGACAATATATGATTCTCGCTCCCACCAAGACGATGAACAGTCATAAAAATCGTTTTAARTGAGTATTTTGTAATATCAATCTTAGCTTTCTTTAAAACCCAAGAGGAAAAAATCATTTTTAGATTGAATAAAAGCCATCATTTTGCATCAATGAATTTGGATTAAAGAGGTCACGTGATTGACCTAATTAATTCAAAAGGAATAGACACTTCATAGTCATGGAAATAAGCTGATTCTAATAAACTAAATTAAACCAAAACTGCAGTCCTTGCTTGTCTAACTACAACTACCAAACAAATTCACACACAAATTTTCAGTAATACCATTTTTTAATAATAAAACCAGTGTAACTTTATGGACTGAGTTGTTTTTCATTGGACAGTACTACAATTATGTGTTACCAGAATCTAATAGTCATAAGYCATCAAAAGATTAAAACAACATTTGTTATAATAGGCTTGGGTTCTATTAGGTTACTGACACTACCATTTGAAGTCCAAAGAAAATCACTCAAGATGTATGTATGCATGTCTCAGATGTCTATTAATCTGCTTTGGAAAACATTTAGTGTTTTTTCAAAAACACACAAGAGTTTGTGGCATAAAATATACGCTTTCAGAGCAAGTGACAATAAGAATGAAAGTTCCCATTATCCTATCCTAGCACCTGTGTTACTTAAAATCCTCCAAATATATTATTTGCACCATTATTATGCAATTCATATCACAAATACGCCTATGTTCAATAATTTCTGCAGTATTACAACACAATATAAACACCACTGTATCATTCAAATCTTTCACAACAACTTACTAGACTCCTATGGAGCCATCATAACCTATTGAATATTTCTTGACAGTGATTTGGAGGTTGAMGATTTGCATGTCTTGAAACTAAACTGACCATACACTAYTYCAAAGTTTTCTGAGTTTTTCTTCATTCATGAATTGGTACAAGGATATAGTGAGAATGTTTTGGTATGTTTAGGTCTATTACGTTTTACTCACAAATCAGTTAGATAAGACAGGAAATAGCATGTGGTAAGTTGATAATTTTTTAAATGCAGATAAAATTTCCAATCAGAATCTTTCCTGTAATTCTAGACGACAATGCTCACAAAGCACAATTGTGCAACCTTTCTCTCTATATATTAATATGTACATTAAAACTTTGCTTCTTTTAAATAATGCACATAAAATGTACACACTGTCATATGATTTGCCATATCTCTATACAAATAAATAGCATTGCCTTTCAATAGACATAGTAAAAATTCGAAGGTCCAGAAGGATTCCGACTTCTAYTCATTAAACTCTGTAAGTGACGTGACTGTTCAATTGCTGCAGATAACCGTTTGTGAAAGTCTTGRTATAATGCTTCTCCTCCTCTTGGTACTCTGAATACAAAACCCTCTAGTGGTAGCATACACATGCCTTTACCATTCATTAAAAACTTATCAGCTGTTACATCCCGCACATTATAGCGTTCTGATGCCCATTTTAGCCACTCTAGAACATCCCATTTTGTCCACACTCGAGGGTCTATTGAAAAAAAAAAAAATAATAATAATAAATTAGCATGATTTTGAGTGATGAAATTATGCTCTCAATGTTTTTTGTTATTTTTTGCAAATGTCTTAATATACATAATTTTCTAAACAAATATGAATATCCATTCAAGTGATGACAAGATCTTACCTGGAGGTACTCTTGGCTGTTCAAAATTGAAAACATTATCTTCATCATCAATATCTGGTACAACACAGTCTTCCAACTCTGACGTACTACCCTTCTTTCTTGTCGGCGAAGGAATTTCTGAGAATGAACATCAAAAAATTAATATTCTGTGCATTTGACACTTAATGCTTACATTATTGCAAATATTCAGAGCATGAAATTATTTTTTATAGCATTTGGTCAATGCTGTTGTCATTCCAATCTTCATCCCCCAAAAAATCAAACTTAATTATTTCTTTGAGTTTTATATTGGAAATATCACTCAGATATTCATTTTAGTGCGGTTTCCAAGTATATGCATCATAGCTATAAGAAAACATATTTAGCAAATACAAAAAAAAAAAACACTACATAATATTATTTATCATTTCTAAGTTGCATGCTTTGGGCCATCATGGTTAACTATTCCAGCTGAAAATCATTCTTGCCCTTATTCTATGTTAAAAATAAATGAGATATTTCACTCTTTATATGGAAGTAACTTTACAAATCTATTCATCCAGAATAATATTATTCAAAATCTAGATTTTTCTGATCAGATAACGATATTACCAAGTGAATTCACATCGTTTTAAGAATCTCTGACCAAGGCCTATTTTTGCATACTTAAAAACAAAATACCCCACTCAAACATTCAATATTTAATGAAAAAATTTCTATTTTGGGAACAAATTTCCATTCAAATAACGCTTACAAAAATGAAATTATCCAGTTAATTTTTCTTTTGAGATCAAGATAGACTTTAATTACAAGAAAACTCCAGAAACCAGCAGAGCATTCAGCATTTACGTCACACCAACCAYGACATTTATGTATGAGACACCTTACAATGGAGAGCTTTAAGAACACACTTAAAAAAACTGTTCTTGATTTCTCTTGTACTGYGCTGTGTTTATACATCTGTATTCCGGCTTCTTTAGTTTAAAATTGAACCAAATTATAGTATCAACATGAAGTTTTCACTAAATCTTAGGTAATAGTTGATAAAAAAAGTTCATTTTTAGATATTTGAATGGTATGATTTAATGTAATAACATGGTACAAAGACATGTTATTTCATGTGTAAATGACCAAATGGCATTCACTGGGTCTAACATGAATTGAAATTATTATGTGATGATCAATTGAATTTGAAGKCAAATGAAGTCGATAAGAAATATAGCTGAAAAGAACTAGGATTAACACACTACGTCATAACTATGAAAGTAGAAAGGGATTTTTTTCATTGGAAAATGCTCTACATCCAGTAGARTTTTAGTTAGTTYGAAATTCTGGGCATTCAGAGCCAAAATGACCAAAAGAAAATATCTAAATATAAGAAAGAAAGCCATCAGGGATCATCTCACAGTTTAATGCATAGTAAAGAGTTTCAAAATTGATACATCCTAGAAACACCCACTCCAATATGGAAAAAAAAAAAGGAAAATCAGTGCTATGGTGTCATATCCTTATATCACCAATTTGATTGATCAAAGCAGTTTGAAGCATGYCAAATTGTGTCCCACACAGTCTGATTGCCTGAAACACTGTATACCTTCCAGCAAATAATCTAATGCCCACACATATTTCACACATTTGCCATTGTAGACATTTCTGCCAAACACCCTATAAGACTTRGGTTAATTTCACTGAGGAAAGCCTACATATGTTAGGTCAAGAACTCTCTGGTTGCTATCCCCTCCCCCATAACAGCAAATATACTATGGCACTAAGTGACATGTAATCTAGCCAGCCAACGCTGAAACACCTTCAAATCAAACACAATATTTTCATTCAATTTGCAAAAATTCGTTTTTCATTTCTCGTTCAAAAGTGACTCATCACATTCACTTTATCTAATAGGTTTTGAGCCGTAATCACAATAAAAAGAATTTGACAGACACTTAATAAATACTTTTCATTTAATCTTTACAAAAAAATGGTATTTTAATAGCATAGTTTCGTAAATGTGACAACGCAGAACGAAAGTTCTCAGTGCTTGCCATCATTCAAAGAGAAACATTCCAGAAGCTCGCAATTTAATTGATTCCCATTTTCARTGTACGTAGTACATTTGTTGGATTTACGTGCGATGTAGTAGGCGGATTACTAAGCTAAATTGTGGTTTGTGAAATGACGGAAATAGAGAGCCCATTGTCTTGTATTGCGCTTTGGCCATCAACAATTGAAGGTGTCAAATCTCCAACTCATCGCCTACGCAAGTCATGCATGAATTGAACCTTGGCCCATCGAAACAAAAGAGACAGGCAAACGCGAAATTCCATCGATCCAAGAGCTCTACGATTTTCCTGTCAATGCCGGCCACTCGACGTTTGATCCGACACTTTTCTGCTCTTCAAGTTAAATTAAATTAAACGTGGGAAATGTCAGGACATCCGAATGTTTTCCCGATTGTTCCGAAATCCCGTGCAATCTCTTAGTTCACCCCTATAGCCACGCGCATCTAATATGCAGATTTGCGATAAGTCTTACCTGAGAAATTTACTCTTAAATCTAAATGGCTGGCTTCTTCGACTCCTTGTTGACCAAGGGTTAAATTATCTAATAGCTAAAAAGGAAAAWGAGACTGTTAGAGGTCGCTCTGAGTTCGCAGGAAGTAAGATCAAACGAGCAGTAATTCATACAAATCACACAACAGATTTCGTGCACGCGTTTGTATGAGGGTCACGTTTAATAACGGGCCCTGATCATGGATTGGAATCATGCGGGTTGATCAATAAATATGAGTAAATTTCATATACAAATTGGACTTGTAGGCCTTAYAGTTTGTCAAGGGAGTTGAGATCAGATGGTAGGAAAAATAAACAAAGCGATTTTTACATTGTGGTTGGAATGACATGCAAAGAATGAAAGAAACACGTTGTTAGCATATTGCTTTGTGGTATTCCTTTCAAGCTTGTGATCATCAAAGGAATCTTTAACTACAGTGTAAATTCATGATTTTARGTATCTTTATGAATTCCTGACATTTCTAAAGCTTATAGCAAGGAAAAAACGTCACCACTTAGTGAGCTATGCGAGCGCGTGACCGACTTTCGACTCTACACACATTCTTTCGATTGTTCGACAAAGCGCGTTTGTGAGACTTATGCAGCACTGCAAAAAGGGATAACGTAATTACCTGGTTTCCTTGAAAAAACAATTCTTGTTCGCTTACTCCAAATCCTTCCTGAGCTTCTATCATCTGTTTAAAGCGTAAAACACTCAAAGAGAGTTGAATGCGGAAAGACAGAGGCAATCGTGGCGTTCCATCGTCTATAAGAACACTGCAATGGAATAAAGCCAAATATCCGTTTAGACATGCAAGCTATACGAAACCCTCTATATTCCTGCAACAGAAAAAAGTCCCAATCCAATATAATGTCGTACCGAATAGGAACAGGTTCAGCCATGATCTGGTTATGTGCTCTGGACGAGCACAAAGGAATTGTGTCCGTTGGCGAAGAGCAAGCAGAGCTCAAAGACTTGTTCAAAGTACAGTCAAACTCACACGTAATTCCCAATTCAATTTCCAATTATAAATGGTGTTTTCAATTAGATTAACAGTTTTGAGTGACGATATAGTAAATACTTGACGGACATACACACAACATTTCACGACTATGCAAGACCTAATAATAGAGAGTGAAATCAGCCGGTCACACTTTTATTGCCCAGGGATCTGTTGGTAGCCAGGGCAACGAGCTCATGCCTTTGTTATGGGTCACCCATATATGGCAAACATACTAACGTAATGTCGTCATCGATCCTTTTTTGGGATGTTTTAGCGAGCTTTACGTTCCGATGAAGGCACGCCTAAAGTTCGTATCATCTTCGGGTCACGAAAGATGCCCGAGAAAAAACTCAAGCASTTTCGGAATGTCTGAACGAACGAATCATATTGTAAATTTCACTCCGTATTGACATCAAAGGTCCTATGGTGTAACGGTTAGCACTTTGGACTCTGAATCCAACAATCCGAGTTCGAATCTCGGTAGGACCTCTACTTTTTTTTATTTTTCTTTTACTCGTAAATATTTTTTTGAGAACCATAAAAACACATTATTTGTATCAAGTTAATTTTAAGCTATAGTTTTTTTTAGTTAAATAATTTTCCTAAAACGTTTTATAGTTCGATCGTTCGACAGCCSCTCGACGGTGGATCCCGAAAAAAGATACCACAAATGAAAGCCCCAGATATAAAGCTTTGAAAGTAAATTGACTAAAATTCTAATTGTGTGTCTGTGCTACACTGTCCCTACACCTTGGGTTTTGAGAGCTCTACGTGTTCTATTTTTGGCTTGCTATCGCATTGCCGTCCCCTGGGCGTTTCGCCAGGTGTGCAAGCAAGACGAAACAATTTTAAAAGCAAATACTGACATAGATTGATGAAAAATAAATAAAAAATATCAGGTGAACTATCAAATGGAAGCACAACGCTCGCAGGATTTTAATTGATAACTCGGTTCTTCTTCGCTTGTCTCATAGGGTGAATGGATTTCGATTATAAAGAAACACCCACCAAGCCTAGGGGTTCGGGTTCTATAGATGATTGCAGTGAAAAAGGAAATACTTGACTCAGYAAATCCCATTAAAAATCACTAGTTATGATCAATTTGACACGCCATGATTACTAGTGTTAATCGATATACGATACTAAGGAATCTTTGAATGGTATTAAGGTGCTGCAGGGTTTGGCCGCGTGCTCAGATAGTCAAYTGTGGTTCATTGATTGATTTTCTTTCGAAATAATCCCGCTTAATGATCTACATGATGATGAATATTGGAAAACTACTTAATGACATCATTCAACTGCAACATTTTCTGTCTAAACAACAACAAAAATGGCGCGGGTAACATGCAAATGATCAGTTAGATAATTTTAGCGCGCGCGGCCGCAACTTCACTTAAAACAAGCGTCAAAGCCACACATATTCCTGATATTTTCAATAGGGTCAACAGGTTTAAATCACGTTGAGAATCTTCCCAAAGCACAGACATGAAGGCCGCCAATAGGAATCGAGTTACAAAACGTTTGGCAGGGTAGTTCAAAATGCGGACTAGGCGAAAGGACCGCGATTTCCGATCTGGCGCGAGCGATAGTCTGGGGTTCTGATTCACTMAAAGATGCAAAGCTATTTGAGAATCTTCTAGAGACTGATATGCAAACTCCCACAAAAATTATCGGGGCTATCCGTAATAGTTTCACCATAATAGTCACCGAAGAWGGCCCAAAACYAAATCATGGTGCTATAAGCAGTACCAAATGTACTCAGGTTTTGCTAATTTGGACATGCTAGATGAAAACGGCGTCCAAAACCTGCATGTTTTTATATTATATTTTTGCATTTTTTGACAGCATCTACAAATAGTCAAGAAATTGAGGTTTTGGCTGCCAGGTTCCGGTTGTTAAGTTTATTGATAGGGGTTAAACCGGAAGGCCTTGTCTAAAAACCCTGAGGCTACTAACCCACAAAGCCAACATGCATAGCCACAATTGTTTAAGGGTTATCTGCGAGGGAACGATTAATCTCTGATGCTATACTTATTACAATGTTATGAAACAAAATCGAACACCAGCATTTCTACATCTGAACAGTTCCGGAAAACGATGCATCTTGTGTGCCAAGTTTACCCCCCTTTGTCCCGCGAACTCACTTAAATATCACTTAAATATGGGTCTTTATGAAGTGTTTGAAATGTTGATTGAAGTAGTTCACAAATAGATTATGATGCGTTCTCTAATGCCATTGGCCACGACTAATTAGCCCCTCTCTACAAAAATTCATTAAAATAAGTCGTGAAATGAACCATAATGCCGAATGAATTAGTTTGCGAGACACGTCTAAGCAGATTGAAGCTGTCTCTCACATCATTGGTCACAAGATATTTCTGACCCCCTCCCTCTAAGAATTTTCAAAGTGGTGAAATTTAATTAACAAAGGGCAATGCAGACTGCATCTCAAAACGAACGGAAGATTTCCCTCTCGAMACCAGCCCCTCCCTAACCACCAAAACTGACTCTAAGGTCTCATAAACTGTTGATAAGAATCACGCTTTAATTTAACGAGTATTTATAGAAAGTATATGTTGGGTGGAATCATCATGCTATCTCAATACAGATGATAGCTGCACAGACTTCTATCAAGCAATACATTAAAGCACTTGTCATCTCTGCACGCACGCGTCGGATGGATACCGATAGCCCAGATTGGAAACTATGATATATCAAACCCACATGGTTTGGAGACAACATAAAAACAGGACTTTTGAATATTGGCCAAACAATGGCGTCGTAGCAATAGACAGAGCACAGTCGACGTGCAGGACAGCAATATACYGACGGAAGTAGTAATCTAATCAGAGCATAACAAAGTCACTTAAGCTAATCGGTTAGGAGTCATGCAAACTGTACCACTACACGTACATGTGTCGTTAATCTGTTTCACAACAAAGGATCTAAAAGTGCGCCTTCCAAGGCAGAACGTGATGGTTGTACGATGCAAGATCGTRCTTTATGTTTTTGCATCTGTACGTGTAGTATCAGCACCAGACACTAAAGGATTTTTACCGCACTGAATAATGCAATCAGCAATCAACTGAAATGATATTGGGGGTTATCTACGATGATAACTGCTTKGGCAGTGTCTCCCACTCTTGTTTCATTCAGGCGAATCGATCTCCCTGAGTTAACGTGTGCGTTTTCTTTTCTTTTTATTTCATTCTTTTATTATTTTCCTTTCCTCTTTTTCAAAAGTGCCTCTTTCAACGCGACCTGAAATAGACATAACATGTAAGTTAACACACKTAACATGCTGATATACACCAAGGTTATGTCAATATCACTGACACTATAGAGCCTCCAATTGGGTAGAATCATGAATTTATATTGGAAATACTAAATAAATAGTCCATAAAAAAACACATTTCCACTTTCCTTGAGTTAAGTTTTTGTACTCATTTCAGTTCCATGCTAAATTTCAGTTCTTTAATCATTCAATTAGAAAACAATGTTTTTTGCTTTCAGTTTCATCACTTTATACATAGCTTTGAACTGAATTGAAATATTCATCCCCCTTTACCTAAGTTTAGTCACTTGGCGACTAACTACTCGAAAATTGTGGCAAATCAAAATATGATAAAAATTACATTTTTGMGAGCTAAAACTACAGAATGTGCTCATATGCCGAATATTTAGTTGATTGCAAAATCACGTCTCCGCGCAATAATTTATCATGAAAAATCTGCGAAAAACTAGAGAATTCAAGATTAGATAGTAAACAGCATGTWTACGCACACTTTGACTCAATCTTGGTCCCCTACAGCAGTAGTATCTTAGCGACGATTGTTCAAAACAGAGAGAAAACCCTTCTAGCAATTACGATGACGTCAAATAGTGAGGAAGCCATTCATCTACTGATATCTGTAGATAGCAGGTGCAAGGCGGGTTGCTATTGCGACCGGTACGAGGTGTCGTTTCGGAACGCTTTTACAATAAAACCATTACCAAATCTAATGAGAAGTCGAACATATTACTCCTACAATTTCGAGCAAATGCTTTGAGAACAAAAATATGGAGTGAAGTGAAGGCAACGCCGAATGAAACAATCTAAGGCAATGAATTWCAAATAATTACAATGAAACCGAGAGGAGACTATATTCCAATACGATTTCAAACAAACGATTCGGGTACAAAATATTAGTGAAATGGTGTCAARTACATTAACGAACAGAACAGATCAAAAAACATTTTCGTGTTCAATTTTTCATGTTTTCACACAAAGACAATCCCTTAYGCGCCAACGTTTGCGTACAAAATACATGGATTTGTCAGTATTACRTTATTTGAGTCAGCCAAATGATTAACTACCTAACATATGACGTGTTAGTAAGCGCTTTGTGTCATTAGCTAGTGCGTAGGATGTTAGACCAAACAAAACAAACGAATGATACATGCGTTGAACCTACGATTTGTCGTGCAAACATCGTGGTTATAAACTACGAAACCAAGGTTCTATAGAAACAGGCGCTTTATTTCTCATGATAAAGAAAAATCAGCGGTTTTGAAATTGACGTGGGAATGATTTTTTATCTGAAAACTTCCTTTCTTTCGTTTGTTCGATAAAATTTCACATTATTCTACTTCTACATGCCTTGCTTTCTTTCCTCCATATGCGTCACATCATCGTCATGACCGATTTCTTTTGTGGGACTCACACGAGAAGTGCAAAGCTTGTAACTCAGTAATWTTTGCTACCGTAATATTCAAGATATTATAGTCATTTATTTTTTTTTCTAATTTGTTTTTGGTATTTTACTGTTTTCACTTCATCAATTCTCTTTTACATGTAAATTATCCCATTTTTCATTCATTTTCAAATTTTATCATTATTTTCTCGTCGTTTTCTTGTCGTTCTTTCTCCATCCCGAACTATACAATAACGCACTATCATGGCTTAGTCTTTAACGATTGCTTTACTACAATTATGCAACAAAGTTTGTTATGCTAACTGTCCTATTCTAAGTGAAGGAACATTCTTTCTAATAGATAATTAACTTTATTGGTCATTGAATTCGAAACACTTGTTCCAAGCCCAGATGTTTTCGGCTTTGCATTATTCACTTGGCATAGTCATTTCGTGGTGATTCGTCGACCAGAGCAATGCATTTTGGTATTTGAATACAACACTATTCTCGAAATCGAATAAAATTCTTCTTAGAACTGAAATTGGGATGGTTWGTGTAACTTAACACTCCTACTCCGTCGTCCTGGCTAACAGAGGAAGGAATCTCCATGGGTCGTCCAAACAACACCTTTTCCAGCAATGTGAACTATATTTTCTACACCCAGATTTTTTAGTCTCAGTTTTCAACCGTCGTGATTTTGTACGCGCCTGCAATACTTTTTGACGAAATTAGCACGGCTGAAAACGAAGCCAAGATCTCTCCGACA